TATGAAACAGACCCAAGGTGGTGTATAAAAATTTCCCCACAAGATGCAGGATACAGTTTTTCGACCTGGATGTCACTACAGCAACACGTGACCACCATAGTATGTAGACAAGGTCGTTGGCAAGACTCCACCTTCCATACATACAATGGGGCAGTGAAAAATGTGACTCAACCTTCTAACCTATTGTGGAATGTAACGTTCAGTTCATTAGTGTACCTTTATTTAGCAGTGTGTGTGTGTGTGTGTGTGTGTGTGTACGAACCTGACATTTCCAAGGTTGCAAATGTCATACGATAAGCTGGTCTAACTAACTGTACTCTTGCCCCTGCTCCCCCACCATCCTCCTCACCCCCCCCCACACCATCCTGATTTCCTCCTAGACCCAACAAAGAACGTGATCATTTTAGAGGTAGTGTCTGACAACATACAACTAGACTTACAAACTATAACTCATTTCTGATCAGTTTAATTTACAGAACCCAACCGAGATATAATTATAAGTTACGGGAGTATAGTTCATCACTGTATAATCACTGTGAACTACTCTGCTCTTGATAATCCGGAGGAAATCAATATGCATTCTACTCTCCCCTTCCTCAACGCCCCTCACCCCGTCAAAGGTTGCGCGCGCAGTTTTGTTGTCAATAGGACTCTATTATTACGTTTTTCTCTCCCTCCCAAACGAGATTGGGTGAATTTAGAATATTACCTCCTCTAGAGTGTGATTATCCTCACCAACACAACAGGTGGATAAAAAGAATTGACTTAAACAACCTTGTGGGAGAGGAAAAACCAAGTACATTGGCTCATCGTGAATGGCGACTACCTGGGGGCTGTGTTAACACCCACCTAACACATCCCAACATGGTCTTATACCACTTGAGGAAATTGGAGTTGGTGGTATTTATCCACTTCGTTGGGATGGATGGATGGATGGTCTCCTGAGGGAGTTTGTACAGTGAAGGATGAGTGATAAGTGACTCGACTACGGTGTCTCTTGTCGTTAAGGGAAGTGAAGTGGTGAGGGTGTAGACTTATCCACCTATGTGTGTGTGATGCATGACCTAGGTGGAGGAAGGTATTAGATATGTATGTAAATCCATCCATACATATGTAAACAGGAGTATACATAATCCCATATACTGAAGCATACATACACAGTCATACAAGTACACATATACGAAAAATACACACTGACATACATAACACACAGGACATCTACCCACACAAAGAGATTACTAATACACATTCCTACTTTACAAACATATAATCACGTAATATTATAAATAATATCTCTTTTTTTATGTCACTTAATTGTATATTATTATTGGTTCAGTGCCAAGATCACATTCACGCCAGAAGTCACACCCAGCTTGTAAAAAAAAAATAATAATTCACCTTACAACTACCATCATTCTTTTTCATGTATTAATAATGCTAAGATTCATAATAACTACAAGGTAAAACAATAAGTCTCAACCATGATGTTCTTGTTGTAGTGTCTGTCTGTGTCTTTGTAATTGTAAGGCCCTTGTGATGTTACTGTGTGTCCCTTTGTTGATGTTTTAGTGCCCGTAATTTGTTTCTAAATTGGTGATGTTTTCTTCTAGTTTATTTTGTTATATAATTTTCTTATACAATAGCTTATTTTATCTTATTTTTTATGTTTATTCGTTGTTGTAAAGTTATCTCTTTTGTTTTCTTTTATTATCTTAAATCATTGTACTTGAAGAGTTATTATCGTACTTAAGGGGTTAAATTATCTTGCTCAAGGGGTTATGAAAGGAATAACCACATCTTGTTCTCAGACCTTTCATCCTTGGCTGTAATTCTGAACTTGTGAATCAGGAAAACAACACTTAAGTTTACTACCTCCAGGGACCCCCCGCTACACAATATGCGGAGACTGTCACACTGTTCAGGGAAGAGATTAAAACCCTACTTCGAAATTCTAGCCTTGTGGTAATTCTCAAAGTCGATATTCATGTATGCTTCCGAGTCCAGATAAGGATTACAGCCATCAAGGTTACAAAACTTCTGTGTATGATGATAATGTCTTTGTTATCTCTATACAACAGTTGCTAGTCATTTGATGTGTTCTATTAAATAACTTTTTCTTCTCCGTTTATTAACTTGTGTTTAGCTTGACAGATTATTTTTAGCTTTTCATAAAATGTTAGTTATAGGATCAAATCAAGTTTACTTCTGACGAATCTTGTGTTTATAGTTTTAAAGTTATGAGCCGTAATTCTAAAAAGATCGACAAAATTAGCCACTTTGAGGAATATATATTTATCGTCAGTACGTTTACTTTAGCCTTTAAGTTGCGTGTCTTAATTCTTAGAACACGTCGGCGTATTGCTGGAAGAAAACATTATAATTAAGGTGTTAAAGTAGATAAGGCTGGGAGGGATAGTGATAACAGGATGTGGATATAGATAACACTAATGGATAATGTGGATGATGGATAGATAACTCCAGGGTGTGGCTAGTGGATAGATAACTCTAAGGTGTGAATAGATGAGTACAGGGGTGTGGCTAGTGGATGAACGACTACAGGGGTGTGGCGAGTGGATAGACGACTACAGGGGTGTGGCTAGTTGATAGACGACTCCAAGGGTGTGGCTAGTGGATAGATAAAGGTCAAGGATACTAGGGACAGCCAGACGCAAGGGGGCGGGCTGATGGGCGTGGTGATATGAGAGTACTTGTTGTTGTTGGTGGTGGTGGTGGTGGTGATCATTGTGATGTATGTATGTATGTATGTATGTATGTATGTATGTATGTATGTATGTACTGTAGGTGTGTATGTATGTATTGGTGTCACTTTTATAGCCGACATAGAGATGATTAACTTGTTTAAATATTCGGTTAACTTGAATGGCCTCTTGCGCGTGGAAGGTACTTAGACAGCGGTTTGGTTATCTTAGACCACTTGACTTGGTTATCTTTGATACTTAGACATATGGCATAGTTATCTTAGACACATGGCTTGGTTAGGTTAGTCATATGGCTTGATTATCTGAGACATATGGCTTGGTTTATCTTAGAGAATGTGTGTCAGGCTGAGACAACAAGAGGAGAGACACGGAATTATTGGCTTCCGGTAATCCACACCAAGTTTATCCTTCCCTCCCTTATCTTCCTCCCTTATCTACCTCCCTTACCTTCCTCCCGCACCTTACCTTATCTCCCTCCCTCTCCCTCTCTTACCTTCCTCCCCTCCCTTACCTTACCTCCCTCCTCTGCCTGCCTTCCCTCCCCTCTCTCTTACCTTTCTCCTCCCTTCCCTTATTCTCCTCCAATTGTTCCTCCATTCCCTCCTCCCAGCCTTTCTCTCCCTTTTTCTTACTCCATTTATTTCATCTTTCCTCTTCCCAACTGCTCTACCATTCCCCTCTTCCTGTTTATTCCCTTTACTCCACTCTCCCTCATCTGTCTTCTCCAAGCTCCCCTCCCCCTCCACTCCCCCGCTCCCCTCACCCTCACTCCCCTCTTCCTCGCTCCACTCTCCACTCCCCCTCTACCTTCTCCATATATCTCCCCTCTCCGTCTAGCCTTCGCGTGATCGATAAGTGTCCCTGTCCAAGTGACCTACAGTAGGGTGAGGTGTCTGGATGACTAGTTGTAATAGCAAAAAGTATACTGCATATCATTTTCTGCTGCAGTAACCAGGTTTATATTTTAGGATATATTTGTTAATTTATTCAAAGGTGTAACTTATCTGTCCTGTATTCTCTGTGCGTCCAGAAAATAATATTGACGATTTTCTTATCATTATTTGGAAGTGATATATTTTTTGTGACACTTTAAATGGTTTTCTATGTGGGTGGAATTGTGATGTGTGTAAAAGGGGGACTAAGCCTGTTGTGATGAAAAGTCCAAAGAAAATGATTGGTATCTTTCCGTAGGAGAAATATTTTATGAAGGATTTTTCAAAAGCTGCCAATTACTGTCACTGGAACATTTACTGCCCCGAGGTCTTTGAAGATTTTTACAGTAGCGGCCATAATGAATATATTCAGTGAAAAAGGAAGACGAGATTTGGGTTCTGACAGTTGCCTACAGGGATAGAGATATATAAGTTAGGATCAGAGCTAAATTATACCCCAACGGAGAGAACCGACAGATTTGAAATTAATAACAAATATTCAGAAGTTAATTTGAAGATAATAGATTTTCCGTAAAGCTAAAGATTCTAAAAGACTTCCCCCTGTAAAATATTTCCTTCTAACCAGGAGTATAAATATATTATTACCGCAGATCATCAATGACATGTCGACTGGTTTTCCTGAGGGCCATCATTTTTTATGGTGTTTTTACATCACCAACGGAGAAAAAAAACTCTACCTCAGGGCAAAAAAATAAAAAAATCAGCTTCCCTTACCTAGCAGCGTAGAAGTATATCTAGCAAAATACTAGCAGTAAAATATCCATATTTCTATGTTGGATGATGAAAGTGCTGATACAAACACCTCACTCTTCCTCCAGTCCTTCCCTGAACAAGTGATACAAACACCTACAAAGTATTTCCTTCCACAAAAGTCACCAAGCCTTTGATGTTGTTGCATCGCTGCTTATCTTTTTCTCTCTCGTTTCTCTTTGATCATCACTGTTTTAATAGTCTCAACATCATATTTTATACAACAAGGTGAGGAAGTATAAATATTCAACAGTAAACTGGCTGGATAGAGTAGTTTTAAGGTGTTAGTCTTTTACTGTACAAGAGTGGAGGTGTTGGCAGGTGTTGTCAGACTCGTTAATGGACCCAGTAAGCGAGTTTAAAGGTGACACGAAAATGTTTTTTTGATGACTGTGTATAATGTAAATTTGGCTCAAAGAACGAATTCGCTCAGTAAGCTAAAAGAAAATATTACCACAACGCGCTGAGAACGTTTTCAAAATAAACAGAAAGTGAAATTTTGCTTGACCTAACCTAAACCTAAACCTAACCTAAACTACATGGCGATTAAACTAAATTCTTGTTCTTTCCTCTACAGCCTGTACTGATGGCAGCTGTGGCGGTCATGAGTCCTTCAGTGATCGGTGGACTATGCCCCTCATGAAGCTGGGGGATAAACGCTACTACTTGGGTATATTCTTCAAGGTATGTTTAAGGGTATATACGGTATATTTAAGGTGAAAGAGTGTTAATATATTCTTAAGGGATATATTACAGATAGGTTGAATATATACTAAAGATAATATTGAAGCTAAAGTGAATTTGTTTTCTTTTGATAATATTAAAAGTAAGGGAGGATATATACCCTTGTAAATATAATGAAAATAAAAGAAATAATGTTTTCCTTTAATAATTATAGAGGATAGGAGAATAAACTATAGTCATGAAAATATACTTTAGGAAAAATAGTAGAAAGAAGAGATATACTATATAGGGTGTCCCAGAAAAATGCCCCTGCCTCCCTCCCTCCCTGCTCCCTACCTCCCTCCCTACCTGCCCCTTACCTCCCTCCCTGCCTGCTCCCTGCCTCCCTCCCTGCCTGCTCCCTCCCTCCTCCCTGCCTGCTCCTACCTCCTCCCTGCCTGCTCCCTACTCCCTCCTGCCTGCTCCCTCCTCCATGCCTGCTGCCTGCCTGCTCCCTGCCTCCTCCCTGCCTGCCCCTCCCCCTCCCCTGCCTGCTCCCTCCCTCCCTGCATGCCCCCTACCTCCCTCCCTGCCTGCTCCTTAACTCCCTCCCTGCCTACTCCCTGCTCCCTACCTCCCTCCCTCCCTGCTCCCTGCCTCCCTCCTTTCCTCTAACTCACAGTGTCTCAGGGAGCAGACAGGCAAGGAGAGAGAGAGAGAGAGAGAGAGGCACACTTTTCTGGGGCACTCTATATACATTTTTTCTGTGAGTATACAGTGGGATGATATATCCTCATGAAAGTATTGAAAAGAGGAGGGATATATTGTCGTGGGAGTATATCATTAAGTGTAAATAGAGAGATTATAACGAAAATAAACTCTGAGGGTGAAATAGACGATAGCATAAAGGAAGATAGCAGGTTATGATACACTACATTAACTGGGTAAAAGATACGGTAGGAAATATAACAGAAGTAAACTAAAATAATAGAAAGGATATACTCTTAAAAAGTATTTTAGTTTATCGTTTAAAATCACTGGTATATTTTCTACTAAGAAATATCTAATGTAAGAAAATTTATCAGCTGATGATATCAAATTCAGAATGCATAGGAAGATATTGGAAGCTATAGCGTTTATATAAATAGATTATCCTATTTCACATTGAGGTAATTGTGAAGTGTTTAGGTCAACGGGAGATATATAACAAAGACAGATATTACTCGTCTATTAACCCAACCATTTATTAATATTTATAATAAGTACTACACAATTATCCTAACATTAACAAATTCATCTATATTAGTCAAGTTTATTTTCTATTATAAGTTTGTTTTAATCATTTAACAACATAAAGAAATTCAGGTAAATATATGACATTTTAAACTCTCAAGAGAAGTCAGTACAGAATTTATTAAAGGCAGTTGTTATCTTATTAATTAAAGATCAACTAACTGTTGTCTGATTTTTGTCTGAATAAATTAATTGATATGAAAAAATTATGACTTTTAGCTAAAATGTTAAGACACAGAAAAATCATTTATAATTAGTATGTTGACCCTCCGAGTACAAAGATAACCCTGAGTACAATGATAACCCTCTAAGTACAATGATAACCCTGAGTACAATGACATCCCTCTAAGTACAATGATAACCCTGAGTACAATGACATTCCTCTGAGTACAATGATAACCCTCTAAGTACAATGATATAACCCTCTGAGTACAATGACAACCCTCTGAGAACAATGATAACCCTCCGAGTACAATGATAAAGCGTTGAACAACCTCGGTACGCGCTGAACAACCCTGTAACAACAGTATAGCGTCAGCGAGTACTGCTCTTACTTTAATCTATTTTCTAGAATATAATAAAAAACATTCCACAGAAACACAGCTAAGAGGAAATAGCTGAAGGCACACTAAAAACGTATTAAAAAAAACATTCGATGAAAGGCAAGAAAAATTATCTGGGAAAAGTTTATTTGAAAAAATGTGAAAAACACGAGATTCAATTTTGTAAAAAAAAAAAAACACCGGCGAAAACACACACAGGAAATGAGAAAAACACATTAAATATTCATAAATAAGGAATCATGACATAAACCAATGAGAATATAGACAAACACCGATGTAAAAACAATTGAAAAAAAATAAAAAATAAATCAAGACGAGAAAATGAACGAAAAAAAATTTAGAAGGAAAAACCCAGGAGAAGAAATTATAAAATACTAAACCATGAAAAAAAAACACGGAATATTAACTATTAGGATTTTCTCTAAACATATAACGAAAAAAAGTACTGAGAAAAGATCCAATAAAACTCTCAAAAAATATATAAAATAAATCACCCAAGATGTTGATTCTGATAAAAAAAAAACATAAGATGAAACAAACTCTAAGGAAGAATCAATAAAAACACGTAAATATTAACTGGATATAAACAGTTTCGTAAAACAGACTGGTTAAAAAAAATATCGGAGGAAATCAAAATAAATAAATACCTTCAGTTGATATAAAACTGACAAAAACGCAGACGCACATCCTGGGTCTCAAGGGCACGTTCGCTCTGCCTTCATCCTGGCTGTCCCATTGCCGTGAGTAAACACGCTGTCGGTGTCGGCCATTAACTGCTGTTACGTTAGTCATGGATTCCTGCTACGTTGGCTGTGGATTCCTGCTACGTTGGACATGGATTCCCGCTACGTTGGCCATGGCTTGCTGCTACGTTGGCCATGGATTCCTGCTACGTTGGCTGTGGATTCCTGCTACGTTGGCTGTGGATTCCTGCTACGTTGACCATGGATTACTGCTACGTTGACCGTGGATTCCTGCAACATTGGCCATGAGACCTGCTACGTTGGCCATGCTACGTTGGCCATGGGTCCCCTTATAATTTTTGCATCCCAGAATCCAGGAACTATTGATCAGTATAATATAAAATCTATAACAACGTCGTAATCAAATCTGGAAAACCCAATCAACACTGCTTCTGGGACCCTTCTCTACTGATCGACTATTGGATCTCGGTAGTCGGTAACATTGGACTACCTGATGATGAAACTTGGTGCAAGGAATTTGGGTCCTGGAATTCCAATATATCTATCCATTAATTCTGGTATCACGGTAAAGTACATAACTCCGGAATCCTGGTACAGTATATTAGCCTAGGAATCTGAGTACAGTGTGTTGGTTCAGTAATGTTCTGTTTTATATTCAATCTTGTCATCATTACCAAGAGTGGGAGAACGAAGGTGTGTTTGTAATTATTCACGTGTTAACTGTCTACATACTACAATGTTAATTTCAGAGATAAATTGTATCTGTGTCTAGTTCAAGTGCGCAACACAAAGCGTACACTCAAAAGCACATGTCCCGATGCTCACTTGTTACACATCATTGGTCTTAACTTCTTTTGATAGTTAATGTTTACTTTATGATCTAGCTTAGTATACGAGATCTTAATTTTTAATGAGCAACAAAAAACATGAACAGAATTATTTGTATTACATAACGTTACAAGAAACAAAAAAAAAGGTAACGGTGTTATTATAAAGAAACATGACCGTTATATTAATCGTTATTCTTTGCGTTATGTTAGTTACAAAAAAGACAGGCCTGATTGTGGCATAGTGAGAGAGAGAGAGAGAGAGCTGTTATGATTTCTACAGTAATTATTGAAGGACTGGCGTAATTACCAACTTTGTTACGCTCTTCAAGATCTTAGTTGTTGAAGCGTGGTAATAACATTAAAATTATCCATCCACTAATGAGTCCGTAGTTCTTACACTAAACTACATATTGACTGGCCATGGTGGGTATAAGAGTAACATGTCACCCAGGAAACAGACGTATCTACTGTACTGTGACGGTCTAAAAAATATATTGCTTTTCCCGTGCACTGTAAACATTCCCATTTGTTTGGTGCAATATATATATATTTTTTTTGTACTTTTACTGGCGCTCTGTGTGGTGGGATTTAATCTAATGGCATTTCATCTCCATAAACTAAATTCCCTCGTGTAATTTACCTGAAAGGGGAGGAGTTTTGTTGCCTTGGTGGAAAAATAAGCTAAGTCGACTGTATTGATATTTAATTAACATCGGCAGAAGCAGAATTTCCTTTGTACATATTTATTCAAAGTTATAAACTCGTTGTGTAAGTAAGGAGATTTAAAATATATAAATGGCAAATAAAAAGTATTTTTTAGTAACTATGCGTAACAGAGAGCTAAAATATACAGGTATTCGTGTATCAGTTTTCCCAGGTGGTGTAGTGCGTCTGACTACCAAGTTAGGTTGCCAAGTCAGTGAAAGTTATCAATATTAGATTTCACTGACCCTATAGTGTTACCAGTTTGAATTAATGACTTTCGCTAACCCAATATAAAGCAGCTGAAATTACATGAAATCTCTATGTAATCTTCCATGCCTTTCTGTATTTCCTGGAGAACTTAGGTGTGGACAGACTGACGCCAGACTAATGAAAACTATCATATAAAGTTTACCTGAGTTATTGTTCCTATAATAATTAAATTAACTGTTGTGTGTAAAGCAGTTTTTGGAGAGAAGAGACAAGACAAAACTTCAACTGATGAATATAACAATAATATACTGCACTTACTGTACATATGTCTGTATATACATGTAACATTCCTATTTATTCGATTTCTGTACTAATCAATATCTGTAGACTCTAGAATGACAGCTGCAACACACCAGAGACCACTATATAGTTCCGTGTGTCTGTAACTATAGCCAGTGCTTCACGACTCTGGAATGACGTCATGACTCTAAACACTGCCGATTGGTCAGGACACGGACGTATTAATAACGATATGTTATGAATAAATATGATTAATTATTATACTAAATCTTAGGCATTTCATCTGAACACACACAAATATATATCATGTACAGTAATTCACCATGCACTCTCATGCCGATTCTTTTTGTAATCAACTTTTTAAAATGTCATCATCTCTCTTGTAAACTAATTATCTTGTACAACATTTATACCTCACGATCCCTTCATTTTCCCTCACTCTCATACAAGTTTCCAGCTGGTGAGACGTTCGTCGATGTTCCCGGATTATTATGTCAACAAATACCTGATGACATAAAGCATCAACACGTGTAGTGACGCATATTGCAGTAATGCTCGCAGTGCTCCTTAACCTTTGCAAAAGTTTCAGAATTTTTTCGCTGTACTTTTTGATTGTTCATTCCATTGTTGTTGCTATCGTTGCTTTTTTTTTTTTAAGCGAACGTGATTTTTTTTTATTTGGGGGAGGGGTGTTTTTATTTTGTAATTTGTTAACTAATTCACGTGTTTTTTTTTATTATTATTAAAGCCACAAACCAAGTGAGTTAAAGTTCTTGACTCAATCATCTCTAGATATTCTTTAGTGATCCCGGCATGCTGTCTCTTCATCATTCACTAAATCATTGAATTGTCTTGAAGAAAAAGGAAAAATTTCTTGTATTTTACCCCAAAATGAATCAGCTTTCAACTCTTCCCAAAATACGTATATTAATATCCAAGCAAAAGAGTCTATGAATGTAACCAAATTTACTAATGACATTAAAGTATGTCAGATTTACATCACCTACTTTACTAACTCAACAATTTATTTTACAGTTGTATTCTATATGACTAACATTAACACACATTATAATTTTGTCATCAAAATTATTAAAACAATCAAAACAATTTTCATCTTTAGTCAAAATGTTTAATGTCATGGATCTTGTTGTTGTGTTTCTCCAAGTCATAATATCCCAAAATAATTCCTGGAAATTAGTAAAGAGTTTCTGCTTAATAGTTTATAACCAAAAGTGTCAGTTATACATTTATTTACATCAGTTTTGTTATAATTTGTTACAAATCTTAATTTTTCTTTATAGATTTTGCTATCATAACATCAATTATCTAACTCTAACTAAACAATCCTAAATCAGTGTCTTAACTTATGAAATAATTACCCCCCAAAAAATGTATGAAACAGAATGAAAGTCCACTCACGTCCTCACCCAGGGAGGGGAACTACCACCCCTTTATGTCATCCCATCAGTCAACTTTACGTCATCCCATCAGTCAACTTTACGTCATCCCATCAGTCAACTTTACGTCATCCCATCAGTCAACTTTACGTCATCCCATCAGTCAACTTTATGTCATCCCATCAGTCAACTTTACGTCATCCCATCAGTCAACTTTAAGTCATCCCATCAGTCACCTTCACGTCATCCCATCAGTCACCTTCACGTCATTCCATCAGCGACCTTTTAATCCCCTACTCCCCGACCAATACCTTTAACCATCCTATCCATTATCCCCATACCATCCACTTTCGTCCTCCCTATCCATCAATTACTTTCACCTTCAGGTCTCCTCTGCCGACTCCACCAGCCCCAACCGCCATCCCCTCCCTCGCCATCTCCTTCGCTACTCACTCTTCATAGTCCACAACGAGCATACCTTCACTATCGCCACCACCATATTATCTCACCAGCACCACACTACCACCTTCACAACTTTCTTGGGTCGTCGGCCTTACTAACTCGGGTCATTGCAGGCGAACTGGTACAAGGCGGCCCAATTCTGTCGTTTCCATGGAATGCTGCTAGCAGGGGTGGAGACAGAGAGACAGAACAGATTCCTGGAGCAGCACATTCAGGACGCAGGTTAGAGTCTCCCCCACCTCTCAACCACCCACCCCTCCACACTTCATCCCAAGCATCGCCACCTCGATATCCTCTCGTAGCCTCCAGGAGTCGTCGGCCGTGTTGTTGGTCTTCAAGTTGTTCCTCTTCGGGTGATGGTCTGTGGATGGTCTCCGCTTCTCGGTGATGGAGGCTTGGTTGCACTGCCTCTTTTTGCAGGTCCAGGTGGATTGTCTTAAGCTTCATTCTGTGATTCCGATGTTGAGACAACTCACCTACAGCTTGCGTGCCAAGAATCAAGCATTGCGGTCTCTGCATCATGGTTTTTTGCTTCAAGGGTTTCGTCATAGCTTGGCTATATGCAAGGATTCGTTTTGTGCGTCTTCGTCTGCGCAGTATCTTACCGTGTCGCACCCTCAGCACCTAAGTTTATGCATCTTGAACTGTGCATGTATTTTAACACAACGCATGTTGATCGCTGCAAATCATCCTTTGATTCTAGTCAGAAGATGATAATGTTTGAACAGTTAGCACGATTTTATCCTAACCAAATACAGAACTGTAGAACCGTCTCACTTTGCTCTCATTTTTCAAACATTTTACTCTTTCTCAATTTCTCTGGCTTATCTATTCATACTTATGTATAATGTTTTCTTGTGTCACTCACGACTTTCCTGTTTCATTGTCTATATAATTACCAGCAACTATACATTTATTTACACCTTTTTCACTTCCTAATTTCAAAGCAACACTTTGAAAGTAAGAAGTAATATTTAACAGTGTTTATTCTAGCATGTTTTAAGTTAATAGTCTTACTTCCAAATATAGTTACTACACTCCTATAGTTAATAGACTCCTCCTTGAATGTTTAACTATTAAGCAAGGTAGAAAGAAGAAAGATGTAAGTGTTCCTACTCGTGTTGTCGGGAAACTTAACAACAGTTGCGACTCTCAAGGCCCTGTGTTACCAAGCCGCTAAATGAGGAGATACAACCTCATCTACCTCCACTGAGTCAGTCTTAACATTTTCAAAGGGTATATTTATGCAGAAAACTTTCACCTGGACTATCCTAGGGAGGCTTCGCCCCCCCAAAAAAAAATTAATGAGTCTTTCAAGATGAGTGAAGAAAAATACCTTGGTTAAATAGTAATTTGAAAGAAGAAATTATTGTCAGGGTGGGAATTTCGCGTCCAGCTTGTGACGATTGTGGTTAGAGCATCACTGGGAGCATAGCCACACCTTCCCTCCAGCCTCTGTCAATATTGATGCTTCTCGTTATCAATGATATCACAAGTGACTCTCTCTCTCTCTCTCTCTCTCTCTCTCTCTTTCATACTGTTTGGCGACCTTAAATCTCATGATATCCTCCCCCTTGCTCCCTCTCTACCTGTCTATTAATTTCCCTACTGTGGTACAAACGTCACGTATATCATAACCCACATTGTCTTCCCACATCAGCATCTCGTTTACAAATACAAGTTTAACATCATCTCAACACTCATTCTCTCGGTGTTTTTTTTTTCATTTCAGTGATGATTTAGCGCCAACAAATCGTCGAGAGTAAATTATCTTCACTATCTAACACAAGTTTACTGTACATAATGCTCATGGCGTTGACTCATCCTGACTCAGACTTCACGGAAAAAAAAGAGAAAAAATATTAGCATGTCTAAGAATGTATTAGGTGCATGTGGTTATGTCTATACCATTCTCTCGTGACTAATATATTCAACTTTTCAGGGGTTTAGTTCAGACATTCTTACTCTCATCTCACTTTGAAACTCTTTCCTATATACAACACATTAGATAAGTAGAGAAGTTGCCATTACTTGGTTCATTATCAATAAGTTGGTATGTAAATATTCAGAGATTATCAGTTAACATGCATGATGCTCAATAGACTTGTAAATAACGAAAATGGCGTTTATTAATGAACCAATAGGGTGGCACCTTGTCGGCAATTGGTCTATTTGTTTAATCGATGGCGGCAACGGGTTAATGTGTGGGACTGACGCGTTGTTCCAGGCTAACTGGTTCAAGTCGGCGCAGTATTGCCGGTTCCATGGCATGCATCTGGCCTCCATAGAGACGCTCAGGGAGAACACCAGACTGGAAAATTACATCCAAGAAGTCGGTAAGCTCAGAGGAGAACCTGAAGCCTGAGTGACTCGTGGTACTGGTTGTGTTGTTCCCTCAGACGTTGACCATGTTATTATAAACCTTATTTTTTAAGAGTGAAGTCTATGATTAATCCAATGAAATGCTCTCAACATTAACCATTCAATCTTGGTAATTGATAAAGTACATGAATATATATTAAGTCTTTTCAGCAAGATTTTTTTAATTAACTAAAAACTTCACTATCAGTCAAATTATATATTAGTAATTTAAGATCATCCAGTACAGTGCTCGAGCCAGGATTTTCAAGGACTGCCACGGTAAATTGTCATCTCTATATAAGGGAAATAGAATATAGTCTGTTACGATGGAATTTTGTTACAGTCCAACACCACTATCCTATTTGTAAACGTTTAAAATAAATAAATCAAGTCAACATTGAGCAAGAACTTGTGGGGGATAATTCATCTCGCGCTTGTCTCTTGAGATTCCTGAATCAGTATGTTAAATGAGGTAACACTGAGATCAACTGTGTCTGACATATCTGGAACACTACAGGTTTAGGTCATGAACACTTCTGGACCTCTGGGACGGACCAGGGTGAGGAAGGACGCTTCTTCTGGATGTCCAACGGGCAGCCTATCACCTACACCAACTGGAACGCTGGAGAACCCAACAACTTCCAGTATGTATTTACCTATACCATCGACTTCCTTCTTGGTGAATTTAATTATATATAAACAAATCATATGTAAAAAGTTTTCATTGTTCTTTGGGGAATGTTTATGTGGGAAATAGAGTTTTCTTCTGGACAAAAAACGCAGCTATTTTTTCTTTAGTTGTTTGTATGTGAGTTGACGTTCAAGTGAGTGAGAGGGAGTGATAGGGAGAGAGAGGGAGGGAGAGGGAGTGAGAAGGGAGTGAGAAGGGAGTGAGAAGGGAGTGAGGGGGAATGAGGGAGAGGGAGTGAGGGTGTATCAAAATAAGTGTAAAGACAGAGATTAGTCCCCAGTTTACACACCCTAACGCTACTTGGGAATTAGGTTAGATTAGATCAGCGTTAGGGCGGTTAATCTTAACGTGAAATAAACTATAGCTAATCTTGAAATGATCTAATCAGTTACAGAGATGACTATAGAATACTGAAATAAAATAACAAATATATATATTAGCTCTGACAGGGTAAAACTAACAGACCAAAATGATTTTCCAATGAATGAGTTAGACAGGTTCAGTAAACAAAGAACTGATGCCACCCAAAAGTCTAACACGGGATACTAGGTCGATCTAATGGGTCGATTTAATAGACTAATGGAAGCAACATTAGACAGCCAGAAACCTCGTCTGATTTACCCATAAGTCTTACTGGAACCTCATGATAACCTTGATCTATATATTGTAAGTTCTCTTGTTTTGGCCCAACTCCCGGGTCACTTGTTCAGACTCGTGAATACTGAACCACCTTTTTATAGAGATACTTTTGTTTACACTTACTGGTTCATATGTATATACACACAAACAAACACAAACTTACACAAATATATTTAGGTTCATACAGACACAAGTACACATACATACATACATGCAGGTAAACAAACAAAGGCATACCTAACACACTGATAATATATATATATATATATAGACGCACACAATATCACATGTACAAATAAAAATACACACACAAGACACAAGCACACACACACACACACACACACACATACACATACACATACATACACATACACACACACACACACACACACTCGCGCCCACCCAAACCTTAAACATACACACTCACATTCACCCACACGCACACTAGAGGTAATTACAAAGATTCATGGGCAGAGGTAACAGCATTTCAGTATTTCAGGGAACAACCTAAGCTTCACTAACGCCAACATCAACAAGCTGTCTGAAGCGAAAGCAATTAACCCGCTTAGATGTATTACCATACCTTGTTATTCTGCATTCTCTCAACAATTCAAGTTCCTCCATCCATATCTCACCTTCTCTCCATCCATATTTCACCTTCTCTCCATCCATATCTCACCTTTTCTCTCTCTCCATCTTCACATTCTCTCTTTCTCTTTCATCCTTCACAATTATTTCCTTCCTTTGTCTTCGTCACAAAAATTATCCATAATATACAATTTTTCTATCCGTCTTCATCACCAATCCATGACCTTGTTACCGTCACTCTATATGAAGTAATTCATTATTCCACTTCCTTCGTTATTCCACATACTTCTAAAGACTTTTATCACTTAATATTTTTCCCCATTCTAAGTACTTGATAATCTAATTTCTCGTGATTAAATACCAAATTATTTATCATTCTCATTGTGAATTTTGCACAAGCTATATGGGAATTGGAATTATATTGTGTCTTTTTTCTTACTGTTTTCCAGCTCCTAGGTTGCTCGATATTACAACTGCAGAACAAAAAGTAATCTAATAATTGGAATCCAACCCAGAATTGAACCCATTGTACTCTACAGCCGAAACACACTTTTTTTTTTTTTGGATAAATTTAACATGTTACTCTTCTCTGTTTTGATATTTTAGGAGACTACTTAAATTTTCATGTGATAATTGTTATGCTGAAATCTGTTGAAATAGTAAACAATTTATATAATAACTTTACTGAAACTGACTATGTATATGCACTGGAACTAAGCTTAGTAGTCTCCATTAGGTGTTGGTCGGCTGTACTCGAGTTATGTTTTATTCTAAGTGTACTATTTTGTATGGAAACTTTGCATTCAGTGTCAAGTTTAATATATTTTACTAACACTTTAAATGTTCTTTCAGATATGAGAACGGTGAAATGGAACACTGCCTGGAGTTGTGGAACAGAGACGGGAAAGGTCTTAAATGGAACGACAGCCCCTGTTCCTTCGAGACTTTCTTCATCTGTGAGGTGGCCTAGTGACGCTGTGTGACGGCTGAGGAAACTTCACTAATGATAGCTCTCTCTCTCTCTCTCTCTCTCTCTCTCTCTCTCTCTCTCTCTCTCTCTCTCTCCAGCTTACACTCAGAATAAAGAAGCTGCAACATCCATAAGACTCGTCCAATTCTCCTACAAGATGAAAAAAGACGCCACGAAAAATATACACACAAAAAATCGCCTTTTGAAAACCCTTAGAAATAGTGGGGGCGAAGATCCCTTAAATAAAAATTCTTAGAACTTAAGGAAGGTTCATAAAAATCTTAAAGACTTCCCTTCAGAATCCTAACAAAAATGAATAAATAAATAAATAAACGGAGAATTCTAAAGAAGTGGTCGGTCAAGAAGTTCAATGGAACGTAAACATCCCAGTATCAACAAGGCCTCGTGTTCCTTTAGGATACTAGCGGGGTCGTAGTCCACCATAGGATATAAAAAAAAAACCTTAGGTACATAAACTAATATCCTCTAGGAGTAAAAAAATTTAAATTCAGATCAAAAATTAACATTCAATCATATCTTTAAAATTTACCCGTTTTACTATATATTTAATATTATTCCACTCAATTACTTTCCAACGTAAAGGTCTTTTATTTTGGATATCCGCAACAATGGCATCAAATTTTTTGTATAAAGGAGGGAAGAATTTTCTTTTGTTATGTTAGGATTTTGTTTTTAGTTTTGTTTTTCGTCACAGGATTTAGTATTAGAGGGGGAGCTCTTAAGACACGTGTTAATAAGTGTGAATGTTGGACGTCCTTTCTTCCTTCTTGTACCTAATCCCCTTATTCATCTTTTTCTTCCTTCTTTTTCCTGTACTTCCTCCTCCTGATTATCTCCCTTGTCTTCCATCTCTCCTCTTCTTCTCCTCTTCATCTTCCTTGTCGGTATGATTATTATCATTGGCATTTTCTTCTTTGTTGCTCCTGTTCTTTCTTTCTTTGTATTTATCCCTTTACGTGATCCTTCTCTTCAGCCTCATTATCACATTTATCCTTAACGTATTATTTCACTTTCCTCACGTGACTGTTTCTCTCTCTCTCTCTCTCTCTCTCTCTCTCTCTCTCTCTCTCTCTCTCTCTCAAGACTACGAGTTTTCCTTATCCTTTAAAACGATAAAATATTCATGTAATTATCCTCCCCAAGTACATAATATTGCTACGTTTAAGATAATTTTAGATGAGTCTCCCTTACGTGTATATAAATCCATATACATTCCTGTTGTATAATTGCTTAGTATAGATTTGTCAGTATTGAAATCGTGTATAAAGAAAAGTGAAGTGTTTATACTGTATAATAATCTTGAGTAATATAAATATGATGATTATAAGTGGTGAATTAAGGCCTTTGGTTTGTGTCTCTGAAAACAACACATTTCCGACTCATTGAAAAGACACAACATTCAATAACTCCCTTTCTTTAACTTTCATAAAAAAAGCATTTTATCTAATTTAAATAATTTAATAAAAAAAATTCAAAGCAGCGAGTTATATTTTTTTCAACTTTTTTATTACATGTTTTGTATAATGTCAATATTTCTTTTAAGTTTTGTATATTTGATGATGAAATGTGTTTTATTTACATGTTTACGGTCATGTGTATATTTTGTTCATATTATAAGAGCCGACTATGTTTGTGTATATTCAATATTTTAAAGTATATTGTTATATTTCTTAAATAATGTTTATTTTCTCTTTTTTAATCCACATATCTTTTTTTTTCTGTTGATACATAAAAGACCAAACATTTTTTTCTCATTTTACATCAGCCAATCATTTTTTGTGTTTATATGAGCAACCAATCACAGCTTTTGCTGACATAATGGTCAACTAATGACAGGCCATGTTGACATTATGTTCAGCCAATCAACAAGCTTCGCTAGCTGTATTTTCGCGCTTCTTGTCGGCTGTTGCGGAAATCATTCAAATTTTAGCTTCTAGTTTTATAAATTTTGCAACTTGTTCATTATTCATTATCAAAAGCATCGTTATTATTTATAATTTTATTATTTACGACCTTTGCCAGTATCAATACATCTTAGGATATAAATCAAACAATTCGGTTCATTAAATAAAGGAAAATCTAAAATAAAGCATCTCGGTAACTCAACTCTAGATACATGTACAAAAGAGATTAGCTGTTATGTATTTTTGTAACTTTCTGTAAATATCATATAATTTTTGTAACTGATGGAATAAACTAACCCTCGGTGTACAATTATTCGTACACCGATGTCTTCCTTTCTCTCTGATATAAATAAAAATCAAAACTTTCTCCTTGTTATTGTTTTGTCGCCCAAATAGAACCCTAAATGTAATCAGGAGGGAGAGTAACATAATGAGATGAGGAAATGTGGTGCGTGGGAAGGTGGTCCCGAGAACAATCGTGATAGGCAGTATCAATGATTCGTCCCTTCAGAGCGTTTTAGCCGAGTTAAAAGGGGAGCTTAGTTGAGAATACGTTCGAGTGGGAAAAAAATAAAATTAAGGGTATTTTGGGTGAATATATCCCAAGCCAAAGTTTCCAGAGGTAATTGAAAGCAACACAAAGTTAAGATACACAAAGCTGGAACTACTGAAGCTAGAACAGTACCAACCTGATATAGTCAAGGTGTAAATAGTTCGAACGTTATAATTCGGTCAAACCTGTTGAATACAATTCATTTTAGTATTTAAACTAAATCATACATGGCAATCATAGCTATGTAATTAGTCTAATCTTAACACTTACAATGAGTACTTAATTTGCCATATTTTATGTTGTCACAATGATAAACGATGCAATGGACACAGTCTACCTGTGTACATAATAAGTACCAGTTAAACTTACGTGTTGAAAGTCTCAAGAGAAACCAGGTTAGGTGTTGCCTCTGTGGTCTGAATATCTACAGTGCCGATACCCTGCTGTCGCCTCCCCAACCCTCTCTCGATGGGCGAGGGCTGAGTCAGGTGATTATACACAAACAAGCTCCCTTACTACCACCCAACACCTCACCTCCTCTGGATCTCTCATCTTCCACCATCTCAACACTATATATATACTGTATACGGGCAGGCACACCCAATAAACATGACATGACTTAGAGCCTAACATAATGTTTGTTTATGTGTCATCCTACTCATTACTGCTTGCAGTAACAAAGAGATTCACTGAGAAAAAAATGTACGCATGAGGGGGTATAACTTTTCTCCATCAAGAAGAGGACCACTCCAAGCTCATCTGTGTTTAACTTAAGTAGAGTTAAGCAAAATTAAGTGTTTGTTGAAGACTCAGGTGAACTTAGCATCTCAAGTGTCGAGGGAGAAACATTAGAGAAACGGTAGCAAATACTTGATAGGTAATGACAAAGTTACCTCGTGTCAGACTCTCTGGAATCATCCAATGGGAGTTGACTCTTAAATATTTGCTTCTAACATACTTGAATCATAACTTAAATATCTTCCTATAAATAACTGCACTAATGCAGAGAGACCTAAACGAACTATTCAAATGGAGTTGAGATTGGCACATGCTCTTTAACATGTCAAAATACAAGACCCTACACTTAGGGTACAACAACCCTAATTACAACTATTCTGTAAACAACACTTTCCTGGACATTGTCAATAAGGAGAAATATCTAGTGGTTGTGATAAATCACTCACTGAAAGCAGTTTAACAAGTGGGAGCAGCAGTGAGAAAAGCAGCCCGAGACTTGAGAAATGTAAAGCGTACACTCGGTAATTAAAAAAAAAAATAGCGTCACAATCCCTGCGCGAAACAAACTGACACTACAAGCGAAATGTTTCAAAAGGCCCCCCGAGGCATTTCTCGCATTGGTAGCCCTGCACGTATATGGGTTCGACCACACATGCTCGAAACAAGGTTCATGAACCCATAGCTCTCATAACAAAGGTAAACCCAGTACTAGACTTTCCGGAATTATCGACCGTATGGCAAAAACGTCGTTGGGCTTGGGTCCAATTATGACGGCATGCGAAACTGTGGAGCTATTCAGATGTTTCGGAACAGCATGGTCTGTTTTCCAATAAGAATAACGAATGACAATGTGGCAGTAGCCCAAAGTGAAGTAGCAATACAAATACAAATTCGAAATTCGGTTGCTAAATAATCTTATACCTTTACTATATCCACTAATTCTGCCAAACAAATAATGCATTCCTATATGGCAACTCATCCACTTCCATGGTTACTGTAGTCCACGGTGTGTGGAGCATTTAATATAAGATACAGTTTAGCTTATCTAGATATACTGACATTCGCCAGTCATATTGTAACAAAATAATTCAATATTGTCAATGAAATAGCTAATTTTGGCCTACCAAGTTAAGTAGGAAATGTCTTACTTGCAAGCCTACCAACACTCGCGAGACAACGGGAATGTTCAGTTGGAAAATCATCGGACCCCACCGCTACAGTTGTTTTATTACCGAATGTACCTTCGAATACAAAGACAAGGAAATAATCCTTCAACTGTACGAATCTCACATGTGTCCCAGTCTGGATTACTGTGCAGGCATGGAAGCCCTACCTCCAGAAAGACATAAAGACCTAACATCCCCTAGAAAATATATAAAACAGAGCAACTAAGATGATTCCGGAACTATGTCATCTTGATTATCCAAATAGATTGGGGGGCTGAGGACTAACAACCCTTCAGACAAGGCACAATAAGGTAGAACTCATTGAAATATTCAAAATCTTGAAAGGAATGGAAAGCGTGAACCCGGGCCCTTTCTTTGTGATGTTGTAATGACCACGATCGTACGCGTCAGTTAACGTAAAATCAGATGATTCATATTGCGCTCAATAGCCCACAAAACATGTAGCAATGTCTTCTTTATTGAGTCCCCCATCTGAGGCGTCCGTTTTGTCTGACTTCCTGGAACCAACCTCTCTATACAATGAATTTGAATATGAGAGAGGACACCATTGTTTTGAGTCAACTTGGAGGCGTCTGATTATAGTTAAAGCATACAAGATGTTGAAAGTAAGTGAGTGTCGAGTCTGCCAGTACGAATGGCATCCCATGATATTGTCCCTGGGGGGTCGCCATGAATTTCCAATTGCTACTGAAGTTAGATTGTTTTGATGCCCAAACATCAGAGAATCTGATATTTGTAGTTTAGTTAGTGTCAGTTATCTATTAAGAAAGTCATTACTCTCCTGAACTATTCTGTCAACCTGTATAATCTCCAAAATCTAACGTACCCCTGTGAATAGTTCCTTGTTCGCAGCTGTGCTGAGTTTGTAAAACTAGTGTTAACAGCGTGTGTAAATCCACTTTTTCCTGGCAGGCTCAATCTCTGATTAGATTATATGAATAAACTTAAGAGGCTCGCCTGACCCGTGGCATTGAGTGTCATAGTTAAATGTACTGCAACTGAGTTGAATATAATTTCTGTCATTGCGTGAATAGCCTTTCTGGCATGTGTTCCGCACAGGCCTGAGTTGGGGTCAATTGTTATCTAGCTGTTGGGGTCAATTGGTATCTAGTTGTTGGGGTCAATTGTTATCTAGTTGTTGGGGTCAATTGTTATCTAGCTGTTGGGGTCAATTGTTATCTAGTTGTTGGGGTCAATTGTTATCTAGCTGTTGGGGTCAATTGTTATCTAGCTGTTGGGGTCAATTGGTATCTTGTTGTTGGGGTCAATTGTTATCTAGTTGTTGGGGTCAATTGTTATCTAGTTGTTGGGGTCAATTGTTATCTAGTTGTTGGGGTCAATTGGTATCTAGTTGTTGGGGTCAATTGTTATCTAGTTGTTGGGGTCAATTGGTATCTAGTTGTTGGGGTCAATTGTTATCTAGTTGATGGGGTCAATTGGGATCTAGTTGTTGGAGTCAATTGGGATCTAGTTGTTGGGGTCAATTGGTATCTAGTTGTTGGGGTCAATTGTTATCTAGTTGACTAAGCTTTCAAAGGCAAGAATTAAACTGACGTCAAGTACTAATAATGACAGTGCATTGTAGGAGGAGCTTCGCGAGCAGATAATGAGATTTTATTTTAAGTTCCAGCGATAAGTCATTACTGTCACATTTCAGAAGACTATTTACTTTCTATAACAACAATTTCAATACTCCCATCGGATTCTCTGATGTTCATAGATCAAAAATATATGACTTCACTTTTGAATTGCTGTCCCATAAGTTCACAAGAAACATACTGATTTTCAGCTGGCAGATGGGTACTCAAAACACAACGTCTTAAAATTATGTACTCTATACATAAAGATATATGGTGCCTTCAGCATATACTCAATACACCTAGAATGCTTTCTCTCACTGTAGGTATATCTGATTTAAGGTACAATAAATTCATTCACTCTCAATTTCAAATCTCTGAATACCATAAGGGGTATTAAGAAATATCTAAGTCTCTAAGCCTCTAAGGGGTCCATGAGAGAAAACGGAGAACTAAGATGTACCGAAGTGGTGAGAAAACGGACCGTCTCAACTGGTGGACTCAACAGTTTCACACATGTTTTGTGGGCGGTGGAGCATAATATAAACAATTAAGTGTTAAACAGACTAGCCATGCTACTGTGACCATGACAATACCTGCCATATACTACCACATACCTGCCATATACTACCACATACCTGCAATAACAACCACATAACTGCCATATGCTACCACATAACTGCCATATACTACCGCATCACTGCCATATATTACCACATACCAGCCATACGCTACCACATAACTGTCATATATTACCACATACCAGTCATACACTACCGCATCACTGCCATATATTACCACATACCAGTCATACACTACCACATAACTGCCATATATTACCACATACCAGCCATACACTACCACATAACTGACATATATTACCCCATACTAGCCATACACTACCGCATCACTGCCATATATTACCACATACCAGCCATACACTACCGCATCACTGCCATATATTACCACATACCAGTCATACACTACCACATAACTGCCATATATTACCACACCTTCGTATATTGGTATCTAAGAAGCTGTCTCAGTGAATGAGTTTATCAAACCTTATTAAATACTTCACATACATCTTCTAAAACTCAACTCGTATTTATATTTACATATAATATTAGGTTTTCCTTGCTTGTATGTATGTATCTATGTCTTTCCTTCTAACTTCTGGAAGGGTTAAATTTACGCTTCAGGCCTCAAGGGTCTTATAAGAGGTTCAAGTTTGCAGATCTGAGACTTTCCCACTGGCAAATTGGTCAACCTTGATATTAGTGTAGACATGCTTAAAAAATGACATGGGGAT